CCTGTACATATATATGCCTTTTGTATCGATATAATTATGTAGTGTACGATACGAATTCAAAAATGTGCCTATCCCTGTGAAGTAATGAGTACTACAAGTAGAAACAATCTATACATATTCGTGAAACCAAATTAATTATTACTATATACGAATGTTTGATACGCTAAAGCACACGGCAGGCAAAGTGACCCACCTGTTCACGGTAAAAAATTTCCAGACCCTTGACTCCATTCTCCTGTCCATTCTTAATTAAGTCCAGCAGCACCTTGTGCTCGTTCTCATCCACGGCAGCGATGAGCTTCCCCACTCGCTTGGCAGGTATATTATGCTTGGCACAATACTCGTACATCAGATCGAGACCACGCACACAGCACCGTGCAATAGACGATCCGGGTTTGTAGTAGATTCCTGCGTGTATTACCCCGCTGTTATGGTTGGTCTGATGGCCTCCAACTGTGCCGGCATAAAAGATATTGTATACGTATACGTAAGGTGTGTGAGGGGATTAAACATGTCAGTTGCGCTTTCTACAGATAATGAGTTGACTTTGCGTACTTGTGTGTGCGCAGGCCCGCTATAATAAACAAATTAAAGCGCCTTCTCTCCATCCCATTCAGAGAATTTACTGAGGCCACTCAATTGCTACATAGTAAGACTCGGACTTATATTACGATATAAAAACTGTATCGGGTGCTCATACGAACTTTCACAGTATACGCTCGCAAGATTCGACCTATATCTGCCCATAGCTAAGACCGGTACATTGCTATGTATATGACAACAATCGTAATAGATTCACGCACAGCTAGTATTGCACTCGCAGTTTTATTCTTCAAGGTACATATAATTATGGATCAGTCGGGAGGAAATATAAGCCATAGAACACAAGCATTGCTTATATAAAAACATGGAGCACGAATGAAGACTTATGCAGTGCACGCAAGCAAACGAAAGAAAATGGTCGACTCCAGGAACATTTATATCATCTACACAAGTCTGGATACGCAAAAGCGTTCAGAATATCCTCATAAACACAGATGGCACGTTTGAAATTAGTTATTCTTCTAGTCTCTGTGTTATATTCATTACCTTACCTTCACTTTCCTTCTCTATTATAGTAATCGTTTTGTTCGGATATTTCTTCTTGATCTCCCGTGCTGTGGTGACGCCCACTATACCCCCTCCCAGGACTGCGACATCGTATATCTCACCGTCCGGTCGAATAGCAGTGCTATACTTCTTACTAAGAACACTTCCCGCTATGGCGCGCAGAGCTCGCAGAGAGACATGCCGGCTACACGTGTAGGATGCGAAGGCCGACATTGAATATATTAGATTATGCAAGGTTTCGTAGAAGTATGTTATTCTAGCCTACAAGAGAGTCAGTTTCAATTACGTTGCTTGTAGATATCGCACACAGATATTACCATAAGCGTGTTTGTATCACATACGCGTGAGTTCTTCCTCAGGCCATAGCCTACAATATGTCTCTCTCACAGGAGGGTTGAGTGGACATACTCATAGAAGGACCGCGAAGTTCGCTGCCTCTCTCTCTCTCGAGATCTCCTGATTCCCTTTTGCTAAATATGACAATAATTACTGCGTTTTGATTCGTTGGGCGGGGTTTGGTCCTTCAGAACTCTACGGCGATTTGTAATATGTAGGGTTTGGAGCTTGATGGGATTTTTTTTTCAAAATCCATAAAATACATTTTTGTAACCTATGTAAATAACAATATACATACACACATATCCCGAGATATATACATAAGAAGATATATGGTTCAAACGATTCAAGTTTTTGACCTAAATAACAGCATACATATACACATATACCAAGATATATACATAAGAACATATAGGGTTACTACAATTCAAATCCATGACCTACAGGCAATATACATATAAACAAATACCAAGATATATACATAAGAAGACATAAGGTTCATACGATTCAAATTCTTGGTTGAAATAACCATATGATATGTAGTGTATTTATTGATCTATTTTTTATTTGTGGTAACAACTATTGCGGTTGTTGCGTTAAATCCAGGTTAACGCTTTGCAGTGCTTCTATACACCACGCAGGGTATTTGCCGTCCGGATACATGTCCGCAAAAAAATTACGCACGAAGCCCGGGAATCTGTGTAATCAAGAAGAAGACAGACAATAGAATGAGACTACCAACAATGTAAATATGCGAATCCGTCAACAGGGGCATACACACAAAGTACTACCATAGCAGAGAGATAGGCCATGGCTGTGGTGGACAATGCAGTGGGTGAGTGTATACCAAAGGATCAGAGTCTTGCAGAGGGTTTAGCTGTGGTGGCGATGTAGTGCAACGCCTCTTACCACGTACATGCCCGCAGCATTAGGACCGACACTTCGGAAAATGCAGAATGAGAGATGAACCAGTCTTGCATGCCATACTTATCTATGTGAAGATTATGCGCATATGAAAATGAGCATGTGCATACGTATATAAGGGGGTTTCCATCCATTTATGCATAACGGATATAGCACATATACCTGTCTTCCATTATACTTTCGCGGAGTGTCTTCATAAGAGTCAGTTGGTACGCAATGTTGTGTATCGTCACTAGATGGCAAGCGACGGTCTCTTTCGTCACAATCTGATGTAGGTAGGAGCGTGTGTAGTTCTTGCTGTACAAGCGGAGGTGGACAGAAGGTGAGTACATTTACTACCTGAAAAAAAAGTAACAGGTCAAGTATAGTCGGGCAAATGATATGCCCATCATTGAATCCAACTGCGACTTAAAATTAAAGGTGGGTCATTGCAGTCGTTTTACACCGTGCATGGTCATCGAAATACTACGGCCGACACTTCGAAGCGCAATAACACGTGTACTCTCATTGGGTCGTATATACTATCACTGGCAGAGGGGAGCATTCTTGCGGATAGGAAGCTTTATGGCGGAATGATCTAATAGTATTCACCAACTGAGCCTCCTACTACGCCGAATGCGAGGCGGAGGGCTATTCAATATGTGCACGATAGCTTGAGTAATGCTTAACGCATACGAAATCAATCAAGGGATCACATGGCTAGTATGAGCTGTATTGACACGTTCCGACGAGTCAAATATGGTTACTAAGTCACGAAGTAGGTAGCTCATGAGTGTACAGCGCATGTCCAGAAGGGTTGCTTCAATGCCTTCATATATATATGTCATGACCGACAAGCAGACACGCATATACATAATACATACGTACACAATTTACAAACCCTTGTCTTGGGTGCCCGAAAGTGATGATATAGTATGCTCAAATCATACACACACCTTCAGAAGTCAACCACCACACACATACCAAGTACTGCAGGGGCAGTCTTCATCTATCGGCCGCAGGTCGTTCTCATATACTCTTTGCTTTAAGGACATGGTGCCGCTCTTCACCAACGCCGTACCGAAGCGCTGTAAGGCACACAGCAGAAATGCGGCGAGATAGGTTAGGGATAAATACTCGTGTACCACCTGACTATTGCAGGTGATCAGCCTTTCTGGTCAGGTGTGGATGGAGATCAACAAAGTATTCTGCTATGAGCTCTGCATAATTCGCGTCGGTTCTGAAGGTAAAAGTCAGAGACGATGCGCACGGGCGCAAAGTCGATTGTCAACTTAGATGACACTTCGAACGGCGATGCTACGCTCAGCCGTATATGGGTTTACAGATGAAACCGGAAACAGTAGACACCACTTACATTCTATAGCGATAAAACCGGAATCAAAACACAGAGATCGTCGCAAATCCACGTTTGCTTTGTACAAGAACGCCTCTAGGGGGTACCAAGAAAAATTCATCCAAATCAAATTGTGTTCCCGCAGGTGGTCCATCCCATGCTACTATTGTTTCTAATCGGCTGACATGCCCAAACAAAACGTATCTTCCAATAGCGAGCCAGAGAGCCATGTACCCTCTACACAGCACATCAGAGTGGCTGTGCTATTTTGTTGAATTTGAGCAAATGTGTAGTTGTCCAACGATGTCGCGTCACAGAAATGCCCTATCGAACGCAGCAACTTCAAGCAATCGCGGAAAGGATATATATACAATTGCACACCAATCAAGTGTGGGGGCGATAAAGAGTGCCGTGAATACATGTGTAAACGAAGAAGAAACATATTGGCACTGATGACTTACCGCCGTTCGTGTGGGGTATACGCAATCGAACTGGTCTACGCCAAGCGCTACACAAACCACCAAATCGACGGCATACCTGTATTGAGCGAGACAGTACGGACGCGTCTTAAGAGTAGGAAGCCACAAGTAGTATGATATACAAAGCTGACAGCCAATACGGAGATGAGTGAGTGTCTGTGTTAGTACAGGAAATTGTACCATTGCGTTTGCTGTAACTGAAAAAACGAGCAGCACAAAAAGAGAAAACTAAACGGCACTACGAGCATTGCGAGTACTGGAGGTGGCAATGAATTTCCAGAAAACCGTACGCATGCATACTTTGCACTGTGTACCCCCCTTCGCAGAGAATTGGCAGAAAATATAAAATCATACTATCAAACCTGCTACGAATTGCAGGGTAGCACACAATTGTATATGGCATACTCGGCAGTAACTTCACACGTGATCAACCCGACCTCAAGTTCCCAACAACGCCTCCCCTTCAGCTCTTCAGTCACATGCACAACATACTCACTCGCTGTACAATATATACACAGCCTCAGTTGACATCGGCCCCTACCCCATATTCTCACTCACCCCACGCCCATGCAATATCTTGGCCTGCCATCCGGCAGGAGGTCAGTGCAGTGACTGACAACCTTGCAGAAAGCATCCTTCTCCTCGCCTCCACTCAGTCCGCCGATGGCGTACCCAGGCAGATCACGCTTCACCATCTCGTCTATACACTTAGTGCGCAGATCCAGATCCAGAGCACCTGCCAAAGCATTAAGAATCAGTCGCGCGCTTCTCGACCGAGCGCATGCAGGGACGTGTGGCAGGCGATGGATGCAAATCCAGGATATTGGTATTGATCATCGGACAAGACTCAGAGTTGTGTCGTTATGTGTTCACATATGGCACCGAATAAGTAGTGGCCGCAATAGCGATATACATTGGATACTCAGATATTGTAGGTGCTTGCATTATCAGACAATATAAGGCGACGAAGCCAACAATCCGCTATACACGTGTTCTATCCAGAACTACATACTCTGAGGAAACAGAACCCGCACGAGTCCAATGCTGGTAAGGCAATAGTGCACTGCACTTATATGTCAGCAGAGCGTGTTTTACGTGACCTCTGGACCCACAGGGGCTGGCGCACACAGTAAAAGTAGCGCCGCTTAAAAAAAAAAAATAAACGGACATATAGGCACGCAAGACACGCACGATAAGATAACGATGCGATTGCAATGTGTTCTGGAGGTCTCGTAAACACAACTGACACATTTTCTGCGCCATACAAGCGCTTGTGCCTATACAACTTATATAGTAGTGACAATACGTAATGATTTCCACTGCTGTCAACCGTATATCTATCACATCTTCTACCATCACCACACACCTTGGATAATAGCATATAAATTCTGCGTTGTTGGATTTTTGTGTGCGGATATACATCTGTCCAGCCATCGGATGGATCTGTACATAGCCTCCTCCACCCTTGGCCCGGTGGTAAGCACGTGTACCACATCATCCAGCTGCATCATGATATCTGATCCGATGGTGTTCTGAAGTTCGATACTTTTCTCGGGCGTCAACATCAGCGACGACCCATCATGTGGCGACTGGAATCTGCAGATCGATAGAGGATTGCACATTCGTACGCATTTCAATATCTTCGCGTGTGCAAACAAGAAAGATCAACGCGTATTTCTCGCAGAAGTTGTTCGTTAACGTCAGGTGAATCGTGCGGTGACTAAATTTGCAGATACACAGTACACGGCCGAGTCGACGGAAGCGGCTGCAATAGAAATTGGTACAAACACTCCAACCTCAGGTACGCACAATCCAACCTCAAGCACACACACCAGTGTTTGTACGACATCTTGACCCCGCCGCGAGGATCACACACTCAACCATTCATTAGATATGCCCGTTCTCGTGCGATTCTACAAAGACATGTTAATATCTCTAACGATACCTACGGAGCAACAGGATTTATGAGCTCACATATTTAAATAAAATGTTCGGACACACAGACACATTTGAATTAGCGGCATGTTTAAAGTGACGTACTTCACCCCGACTTCTGTGATCTCAGCGAGTGACAGAAGAGACACCATTTGGAAACCGCCGCTGTCAGTAAGAAGTGACCGAGGCCATTTCATGAAGTTGTGCAGCCCGCCGACTTCTTCTAGCAGTTCAGGTCCAGGCCGATGTCCAAGATGATATGTATTTGCCAGGCATATTTGGCAGCCCAATTCCTGTGTGGTATGATATTGCGGTGGGAAATATGATAAGCTTTCCATTTCGCAGTGCTATGTGCAATAGCAGGTACGCGGGCGTAGACTAGCAATAGTAAAAATAACAGATACAGAAGGACTACGAGTAAATAGATGAACATCGCACATGTTTACAAGGTACAAGTGTATGTACACCGTGTGATAAACATAAGTCTAACGAGTACTTATATATCACGTAAAAACAAAATGTACATCTTTGTTGCGTTGGTATATAGTATACAAACGCATCTTCAGAGTGTACATAGTCATGGTAAGTGGAGAAGCACAAAAGACCTATCATAGTTGAAGGTATGTATGTATTAATATACTCACACTCCCGCACACATGCACACGAACATACACTCAAATATTATCACGCAAACACACACATACACATACACAGACACAGACACAGACACAGACATAAACACAGACACAGACACACAATAAATATATATATATATATATATATATTGTTTGAAACACGTGCATGTATGCATAGAAACTACTGATAACGTAAATATACCTATCATATATCCCTAATTTATATACACATACATATACATGCAAACATATTTTTTGTAAATATGTGACTAGACAAAAACTCACGTATATTGTGATACAACTATAGGAATTTCGACAAACAAAGAAAACTAAAGAATATATATATATATATATATATATATATATATATATATATATATATATATACTATACTATACGTAATAATATATATATAACTATATATA